TAACTAAAATTTAATTTACGTCTTCTTCCGCTTGCAGTCCATCTGTTGCTAACTTTTGAAACTAAATTTTTTTTCTGCCATACGCTTTCCGCCTTCTTCAATAAATTCCTTTCAAATTTGACGTCATTTTCATGAGTGGTTCTTTTTTTATAGCGTTTTGAAACTTAAACTTTAATTATAATCACCCTGTATATAGGGGGTGGTGTTTTAGTTTAAACGGGGTGGTGTTTCTGACGTAGTTAAATAACCAATTATAAAACAAATATAATTTTTCCGTGCTCAACCTAGTAACTATTTCTTTTAACTGTCAATGAACACATTGATTTCTTGGGGAAATGAGAATTTCTCAATTTACCATGGGAAGATTTTCCATCTCCTCCTATCTTACTTCCATAGTCCATCAACTGTTTTGTTAAACTTGTAATGATTGCCATTTTTAACACACCGAGAGCACAATAATCAATCGACATCACATCAAAAATCTTTTCTGGAATTTACGGAAAAGGCACTGATCTACATATTACTTTAAACAGTCTCCTTTTCAACTTTTTAAGAATTGCAATCGTAAGTATTGACGAATGACTCATAGTTTTGCCTCAGTAGAGTTCAGTGATTTTTATACTTTGTGGACAAAGAAGCTGTATTTCTTTTGAGAATAGAACAATGTTTTGATAACATGTAGAATTTATTTTTAGAAATTTCTCTGATTCTTTTTAATTTTAATTTGAAGGTAAATGAAAACTTTACGCATGAAACTTTTACTCAGAATTTCCTTAGGCTCTAAGACCAAACTTTTAAGTATTTCACTCCTCGTTTATACAACAGTAAATCGATTGTTGTCTGTTAAAATAATTCAAGTATAGATATGCTTCATCTCTGATTTTCAAAATCAAAAAAGATTTTCCTAAGGAATCTAGACTTGTACTCTTCCTCTTGTTTCAGAAGAAGATGAAAAACATTGTACTGTTAAAATTAAAATTATTTTAACATTGAGTAAATGGTTTTATTTTTACAATCAAACATTTAATTTTTGAAAAGGACTTTGCGTTATGTCCCATTTTTCAGACAAACATTAGGCATGTTTATAGATTTTCTTCCCTTTTTTACTGGAATAACATATTGGCTTCGAAAATTAAACGTGCCATGCAGATTATCAATTTTCGAAAGCGCAGTTTAAATTTGAAGGACTAAAAATCACTGCGGACAATATACAAATAGCGCATGTTATAGCCAATCATGATTGCCTGGCCAAACATAGTTAGACAGTCATTGAAGACGGAAGCATTCTGACCATAGGGAACAAGATTAAAATGGTGTCGTTAACATCTCAGATAGACTGTTTTAGATTGACGCAATGGCATGTTCATGGCAGATTCCTGATTTGCGCTGAATCATGAGGGTTTGGAGAGAATGAGGACGTGAAATCAGTCTTGGAACATCACGTATTCAGAGGTGGCAGCATCGTGGTGTGGGCTGGAATTTCAATAGGATATCGCACACAGCTGCACGGTCTTGGAATCTATTCCTGCAGCATACTGTGAGACTTTCCCTTGCAGCAGTTCTGATTTACCCCTAACGGATGGTCATATCCATCCCCATCGAGCCTCTATTGTTAACGAGCACCCGGAGAGTAAGGGCACTTCTCGTATGAAATGGCCGCCTATTTCACGATTCTCACTGAAAATCTTTCGGATGCCCTCGGGCATGCTCTCTCTTTACGTTTATCTCATCTAGGCAATCTAGGATAGTTGGATACTGCTCTAATGGAGAAAAGGGTAGCATCTGCAGTGGTTGATCACCTCGTTGAAATCATGGGTAATCGTTGTAAAGTTTGTGGGAAGGCTGGGGGTCGTCACATACCTTATTAATGTAAGTTTCGCTTGCTTGCTTTTAATTTTAAACATCAGTTCGTTAATGACCAAATATGTTGTCTTCTTATAATTCGCAAAAATTAAATATGCATAATAACATCTGCTACATTCACGTGGAATTTGCTCTTAATCAGAGGTTTACTTTTTCACTTTTGTTGATTTTACCATCGTTTGGAACGTTTTGAAGGAAGCCAATGAATATTGTGCCTTTATATCTATGTGTTATCGGCAAAACATGAAATCTGGCATTCTATAAAATGCATAGGCATTGTATGTAAAGCCTAAAACAAGCCGGCAATGTATGAAATGAATCATATTTCACACAATTTCCTAGGCATTCTATAGAATGCCAAATGACAAACCGGCAAATTATGAAATACATTTCCGATTCGTTTCGAAGAACCGAAACTACCTAACCAGAAGTTGATAAATGATGCAAAAAGGCCAAAATGACTATTAAGAAGGAATCACGGGACTACAGGGCCGCGGAATCGCTAGGTTGTGATGTTTGTGGAAAACAAAAGTACATTCATTCATCATGTTAAAGAAAGCATCAGTACTATGCGTATTGCGTCACAAACGCCGAGTTGCTTTCTGTATTTCATGAAAACTCCTCTGAGACTGCACAGAAACAATGTGACAGAATGTCGAAAGAACTTTCAACCAATTAAAAAAAACGTTACACGTAATGATATTGAACTGTAACAACCACTTTTGTGAGCCCTGCCAGAAAAAACAAACAGATATTAAAAAGGGCACTGATATGAAACTTATGATTGTTTCTGAATTTAACTTCCGTTGTCAGGTAGATCTTACTGATTCCCAGTCTCAGACAGATAGTAAATACAAATTTATTACGCTGTATAAAGATCACCTCAATACCATTTTTTTACATATTTCGAAGACCAGTTTTTCTATTGCATTCTTTCATTCATTTTTCAAAATAACATTTGTATTTTAGAGGAATGTACGTCTTTTAAATAATAGCCTTATCATAACCTTTTTTTTCATACTTTGCCTAAAGAGCATTTGTCATTCTATAGAATGCCTAGGTATTATATACAATGCTTAGGTAAAGTATGTAATAATTCTCTTATTTCATACTTTTCCTAAAATCGTCCGGCATTCTATAGAATGCCGTCGTTTCATACTTTTTGTCGGTAACATATGCATATATATTATATATGTAAAGATTTTAAAATGCGTAGATGAAAACAGTGGAACTTTTAACAGCTTAGATACTGCGTATATGACCGAGAATACCGTAGTGGATTGAAGGTGGCAGAGTGGAAAGCATGATGACCCAATTTAGCGCAAGATATCTTGAAAAATCACAATCTTTATTTTTTTACGCATATCAAATCATCCTTTTTCAGACAAGATTTTTTCTAATTATATTTGAATACAGTAAGTTGCATTTTGAAGTGCGACGTCGTTTTAAGCAAGTAAACGGCAGCAGCATATATAAAAAGCATTTTGCCGGCAGTACAGCTTATGCAGAAAAGGGGGAAGAGTTATAGTACTTTCAGAAGAAGAAGGTTGGGAAAGTTTCAGTTCAGAGTTTTGGTTTACAATAATTTGATTGGACAAGAGGCATCTGCATTAAAACGTTACGTAAGATAGAAAAATCTGGAACCTGTGAGAAGAGATGAATTTAGGGGCAGATCACTAAATTTAGAATGTAAATTTTGAGGTCGCCAATTATTTTTTTGAAACAGCTATCATATTTTGTTATATCTTACACACACACATATATATATAATTAATAATAATTTATAAGAAGAAAACTTTCCATATATACCATCTACAAGGAACATAATTTTAAACCATCAATGAAAATTTTTTTTAGAATTTAAATTAGTATTTTAAATAATTAGTAACAGCCTACATTCTATGTATTATCTCCAAGGAAAATTCCAATTTTCCCACCAATTCAGGTCCAACTTAAATAGAATACTGCACTTTATGACAACCCTTTTACTTCCATCACTTATTACTTGAATTTACAGCCATTTGGGTTTAAAAGTGTGAAGGCAAATGTGTTAATTTTAACTTAACTTTAACTTTTTTAATTTTAACTAAGTTTAATCTTTAAATTTCTAATTAACTGTTTATTTTAAACCTTAAATTTAAGACTGTATCAGTTCTGATCTTCTTATAACTTAGAATCTACTTTTAATGTTCTAATTTGTTTACTTCTGTTTTTGAATTTGAAAATGACAGTGTAGGGGATATGTCTTCTAAGGTAAGCATCTCGTTCAGATTAATTGTGTTGTTATTGAGAAACTGTAATTTTAAGATAATTTGCTATTTTGTTTTACAAGATTCTTTTGGCTTAAAGGGACTAATGTCTTTGTTTGGATTGAGTATTTATGTAACTTATGGTTTGAATCTAGCAAATAATTTGATACTTACTTGGAAGTAAGATGAAAGACTCTCTTAATTTAGTTATTGTTAATTGATGGTAGATTGGTTTATCCCCTTGATAAGTCGATTAATCTGCGATCAATGACAGTGACTACTTTTTCAATTTAAAATTTACTTTTGGTTTTGGTATTTTTGCGATTAAAGAGTTTTCTTAGCAGATTTTTAAACCAATAGTTGAAATTATTTAAAATACTAATTTAAATTCTAAAAAAAATTCATTGATGGTTTTAAATTTGTGTTTCTTAGAGATGGTATATATGGAAAGATTTCTTATTATAAATTATTATGATTATTGGTTTATTACTTTGCAGCTTTAGCGAAGTCATAGGCTTTTTAATTTACTTTTAATTACTTTATTTTTAAATTAATATATATATATATATATATTATACATGCATTTCACTGAATTAATATTCTTTGTGTTGAAAAATGGGACTATTTTTCCCTGTGGAATATAAAAACTTATTTTCTTCCTAAAATGTATTTGCAAGAGATATTCTAAGTTTGTAAAACTTTTCATCGCAACATACATTTCGTTCTCCTTGAATATAAAAACTATTGCCAATTAGTTTTTATCTTTCGCTATCTTCAATTACTTCTTCAATTTGAAATGTGTCAAAAATATGCATATAACCTTTATAAAGATATTTCAGGTATATTCGTAGTTATAAATCTTAAAAAGTAAAATGTTTTACAACTTACTCGTAATCTGGGTGAATAACTGTTGCTGTTCCATTCTTGATTGTAAGGGACTTGGCTTTTTTTACAAGCTGGAAAAAGTCAGGATTCAGTCTACTAGACGAGGTCGTAGTATGATAGTGCTTTTCTCTGTAATTAGAGAAATATCACTGATTACAAGAAGTAATAGATAATATAAGTAGAAAAAGCAACAATTTCAAATTAACCACTGAATGCACAAGAGTTAACTTCATAAAATGATGTAAGTTTTGCTCTAAACTCACACAAGAGTTTAAAATTTATTATATGACATCTGATAGATCTTTCAGGAAAGGAAAAATTTTTTTCCTTAAAACAAATTACAGTAAGTTTGAATGCATGACACGTTCTAACGAAATGAAAAATGATATTGTGAAAGCATTTTATCACTCTGATGAACAATATGGATTTTTCATCGATGAGACATAAAGAAATAAGAAATAAAATCACAATGTAATAAATTTCCCAGAATTTATAATAATATATTCATATATACACACACACACATATAGAGAGAGAAAATCCATTGAAAAGTTTTGTTTGAAACATTAAACATAGGGTAATTAATAATTTTTATTTGCAAAAATATGTTTATTTACATTACATTTTTACATTCATATTGACATTATTTTCAAAAATGATTTTTTGTTGTCCTGTAGGATATTCAGATTTATATATATGTATATAAAAGTAATTATTACAAAAAGAAATATTAAAAAAAAATTAAGATTACCTTATCTGAGGAAGTTTGTGTGTTAGTAAAATTGTTTCATGTTAATTAGTAGTGAAAAAATTAAAGCCGGATAAGGAAATACAATGTATATATATATATATATGTGTGTGTAATGATTTTTAAAAATGCGTAGATGAAAACAGTGGAACTTTTAACAGCTTAGATACTGCGTAGATGATCGAGAAGACTGTAGTGGCTTGAAGGTGGCAGAGTGGAAAACATGAGTGAAGCTTTGCAATCTAGTCACATCAGAATTCTGCACATTGGTGTGGCTGAGCGTCGTCCAATGACGACACAGAAAGATCTCATTTTATAGCTCCATATCTTTATTCAATTCAAAAGGCAGATCATCATTATTTACTTAATAAGATTAACTTTAAATTCACTACGTCATAGTAGTCGAACAAAGGGAGGCAGATGAAAGCAGCAACATAAGTTCTTAACAGCAGTAGAGGCAGAAAGCGGTCTCTGACACAAAATGGCGCGAGTTCTCTAGTTATAGGAGCGGTTACGTAATATGCTCGAATGTTCCCGAAAGTACTGGTCTAGGGGGAAGATCCTGAAATTGCGGAAAGTTAATTAGAGGTTGCTTGTTCGCATAGAGCAAAGCCATCCTATTTTTTGTATTTTACATATATATATATATATATATATATATATATATAATGTAAACGTTTACATTCGGACCGGACAACCGGTGTTCTTACTTGGAAGTATCATGTATACCACTCGAAAGCCCATAATGATATTTCATTTAAATTCTAAGGTCATATGTAAATTAAGTGCAATCTAAAACCATGAAAAATATTTAATTCCAAAAAAATTAATCTCAAAAGTTTTTTTAAGGAATTTTTAAGACCAAATTTATTTGCATAAATGAATAATTGTTGAGCAGGCAGGCGACAGACTTATCAAGGGTAAGTTGCCTCCTGAGTAGAATTCAAAACCAAAAGTAAAATCAAATGTTGTGAATTATTAAAAAAAAAAAAATAACTAGTAGGAATTTTGAGAAATTTAGCAAGTAAAATTATTATGAATTAAAATATTAATTAAATGTCAATATAATTAATAGTAGAAAGTAATTTGGAAACTCTTGCCTATTGAAAACTTCACCTACACGAATTATCCATGTAAACGTAAAATAAAGTATATACAATCTATCAAAATATAAATAAAAAGGCTAGTAAATAGCAAGTTTTAATTTAACTTACCTAGAACTACACATCTGAATTCCTGAGAATGGATTAGCATTTGCTAAACTAAGTGAGTTGAGTCGTTTGTTACTGCTAACTATATATGAGTGTTAAACTGCTACTTGTGACAGCGATTGTAAAAACCTATGCTGTAAACTTTAAGTAATGTATAATGCTTGTTTTGTGTGCAAAAATGTTGCTAACTTTGAAGCATTGTAAAAATGTGTAAAAGATTGTAAAAATTGTTAACTGCTACTATTTGTGAAAGTAGATGTTGCAAACTACTAAGGATATAAAAATTCGAATAAGTGTTTTAGAAAAAAAAAATTTGAAGTAAAATAAAAAGTTCGAATAAACATTTAATTGAATTAATTTAGTTTTAATTTTAAGTTGTAAATTATTTAAAAAAAATTTTGAATCACAAATTGAAATAATAGAGAATTATTGTAAGAAATTTTTTATAACAGACTGCATTATTAAAACTGCATTTCTTCAAGTTTAATTAAAACTTTAACTAAATACTGGCCAAAGGTTAGGAAAATTAGGTAAAAAGTTTCAATCTATAATTTCGCTCAATTCAGTCTATAATTGAGACTTTTGAAAAGAGTTGGCCCTTCATTAGTAAAAGAAAAGAATTCAGTATAGATTAAATATACATTTTTATAAATAATTAATGAATATTAACAAGTATAATGCTTTAACTCTTCAAAATCATCCATTACTGTCCATTTAAGATATATATGTATAATTAGGTTTAATTTGAAGCCATTTCATGTATACACAGAGATCCGGCAACCACATTTTTTGTTGTTTCGGTTTCGAAGCTCTGTGATGTTATGTGTCATCTTTTATGTTACATTAATGGATGACTGTTAAATTTATTTGCTGAATTATTTTTAGATTTATTTCCATTTTGAATTCTTTCACTTTTTCTTTGTAAATAATCGAGTGCTTTTCCGCATTTGAACCGTATAACATAGCGATTTAGCAACCACATAACAATTTCTTCTTTAATATAGTGGCATTTCCGAGGAAGTTTCTGATTTAATTTGTCTATAAAAATACTACTGAACATATACATATTTTACTGTATATTATAGCTTGAGTTCTTAAAAATGTTTTGATTTGTAAGTTAGAGTTTTCCTCATAGGTAAATGTAAAATTCGATTTTAAGTAATGTTAAAAGCAGTAGATCGTATGTTTTATTAGTATCAGGCGTAGGCTTGATCGTCATTATCTGGCCCACCGATTTTAAAGTCAGGAAATTATATTCAGTTATTAAATTATTGCGAAACTCATGTCTCGACAAAGAGCACTCGGAGAAAGGAGTCTAGGGAACGAAATCCTCAGTAAATGGCTATCATGCTGTGTTTTGAACTGAGAGCAGGTGAGAGGAAGAGCCACAAGTCTGCCTTTAGGCTTCAAATCTAGACGTCTGTGCCATTTAAATTTCACTAATTGAGTATATTTTAGTAATGAGGAACCTCTCTTTCGTCAAGATCTTAATACAGAGTCCGTTGTGTTCAAAGGGATGCTTGATGTATATCTGGGAACACAAATATGACATACAATACTCGTCGCTTGCTAAAATTACTTTTGTTTCAAACGTATTTGAGTTTATTAAGCAACTGAGTTTCATGGACGGCGAACTGTGCATTGTAAACAAGGATATCAATTTTAAACATTTCAAGTGAAATAATAACTAACAGTTTGAAAGTTCCTTTTCATATGAGCTGGTATACGAGCTGGTATACGAGTATATAACCTTCTCACATTTACAATGCCTCTAAGGAATTAATTGTGTTTGTTAAACTTAAGATGAAAATATTCTGTTGTCCTGGAGTTCAACCCGACCATAAAACTTTCAAAACAGTGTCTCACAGGTACGGGGACCGGAGAGTGGCAAAATTTCGGTCAAACCCTTTCATTCAGCCACTGCTTACCTGAATGATAAAGTCACAGTCCACAATAGATGAACTAAGATAAGCTCTGACAGTTACAAGTAGGATACTCTGGCACTAAATATCAGTCTTTCACCAGTCTGAGCTTAAAAAACGGAGGATTATAAATGCTGGTTTTCTATTGATTAATATGTATTTGCTTTCATTCCGAGAAATTTGAACGTAATAAGCTGCTATGTTTATTTTTATTAACCAGCGAGTTTAAAAAGCGGCGGTACTGTATATAAAAAAAATATACTCTGTGATTAAATTAAAAACTCATGATGAAGAGTTTGGAGATTGATTTTCTTAAAAAAAATTTAAAAAATCAACTTTATTTAGCTTTTATTTTATTTTAACTCAATCAAAATTAACCTTTGCTGATTTCATTAGCTTTTATTTAGTTTATTCATAGTATTTGCTTCATGGTTAAAAGTTTGTAATAGAATTTTACCCCACTTACTGATAAACTACCGAATTCCTATTCTGTACACGCACTGTTTGTGAATGAGAACGCAATGTGGTAAATTCGAACGCTTCCAAAATTTGATTTAGATTATTTTAATTTTATGTTTGAAGTAATTTTCGCACATAACATTGTTTAATAAGTGAAATTTAGTTTTCAGAAATTTCATATTTACAACAGATACAGCGGAAAAAATATCTTTGAAATAAAATTAATATTAAGTTTCTATCCTTATTTCTGATTTTTTTTTCCTCGAATTTTCGAAATCCTCTCGAGTTTTCCTATTATTTCACGTTTATGATTTTAAAATTTCATCCACTAAAAATGTGTCGGTTACAGAATTTGAAATCTTTTACAAATTATAAAACGAATTGTTCGCTCTCTTTTAAAACCAGAATAATATGAAACAAGAATCATAAAAAATGTTAATTAGCGACTTTCTAGAGATTCTTTCTTAAACTAGCCTCGTTTGTGTAAACGTTTTTTCGTTTAAATATTTCGCTTAGAATATTGTCACTATCGATAAAACTTTGCCATCTATTTTTAAACTATTCCCCGATAAGCTCATGAGCTCAACTTTTGCATAAATATTCATTATGGATAACAATATTATGTGGTGAAGAGAAATGTTCAAAATGTGATATTAGTTATTTAAATTGTAATGATGAAATAGCTCTTCGCAAACTTCGTGATACGAACAGACTAAAACTCTCAGAATTTTGCGTTTTGCACCATCGTATAAAATAGAAAAAATCAGTTAAATAAGTTTGTAGTAGATT